AGCACAGACATGTGTTTCCCTGACTTTACTTAGCCAGTAAATGATAACTCTCTTATGAAAAGTAGCATTTATATGAAGAAAACATTTCACTATAAAATCTAAGGCAAAAATGTATACACCAACTGACATTACTAATTATGTGACTTGTATAACACACACGAAAGAATCTTAATTTAAAGCCACGTCATTCAAGGCGTTCATGGTCAACTAAACAGAGAGCAGAATTGAAATCACCGATGGAGATGTATCGATTAGTGGCCGGCAGGAGGTAGAAGAAGAAGGACTGATGGAATCGCTCCAGCAGGTTGTTCAGAGAGCGGCACACGCCCTCAAGCACCCGCCCCAACTGCTGGAAGGACACGTTCCGCCGATTACGAGGGTGGTGCGTGCTGTGCTGACCCTCCAGTGTCACTGCAGCAATGCCATACCTAGAGATTAGAAGGCGAATACTTAATGATGCAGTTTGAGAAAGAGGATAGAAAAAAAAAAACTTCTATAGATTTGTATAAGAAAATACTGATACATACATTCATAAACATAAACATTAAAAAATACAAGAAAATATTATTTACCATTCCCTATTTCCAAACTGAAGTATATGACACTATTTACCTGTGATATAATCCATGGTTTCCTGTGGGAACACCTGATGCTTGTGAGGAGATCATGGAGAAGAGTGTGCCTACTTGGTGAAGCCAGCCATGGAAGGTCTCTGGCTGAGGATGGTTCCCCTGAGAAAAAGGAGAGGCAAGTGCAAATAAGAGTCTCTGAAATTTCAACTTCACTAAAACAAATTTGAGATGCCCATATGCATGCGCATGTGTGCACACATACACAGAGACACCAAGTGTTTCTACCCATTAAACTAAACAAAATAAAATGTCAGTGAGATACCATAGTAAAAAGTATATTTCACACAAGTGGGATACATTATGGCCTTAAAATATCCAAGGAATAAGAGAAGCCGCTTGCAGTAATTTTCCATTAGGACCAATGATAACTTAATTTTGTAAAAGATATCACAAGATGGACAGTTATACAAACATCCCTTTTAAAAGCTAATTTGCTTTCTCACCTTTTTCCTGTCCCCTGTTCACTGTCACTCCCATCCTCTTCACTATTCCTATTCTAATGAGCCTCAACAAACAAGACATTTTGAGAACAATGACTGAACTGTAGTGAAATTACTAACCCTGTTCTTGAAGGTATGGTGGACATTCTCTCTCTGGCAAAGGCGATGTATTAAGTTGAACAGGTCCAAGTTTGGAAGCTGGCCATTCAGTCCTTCCACTTTCACATCAATATGACTCACTTGAGAGCTATGGATCTCCAAGTTTATGGCAGCCTGAAAAAGGAAATCTTTTAATCCAGGAATTTGAATTGCAAAACAAGAGACAAATTTTACCCGTTCACAATGCCTACGCACTACACAGTGGTCTTAGCAATCTTCACCTGACTGATGTAAAAGATTTGCAATTCAAAATGAAGTAAATAGTTTTACACATGTGAAAGAAGAATAAATTTATAGGGAAACAAACTTGTCCTCATGTAAACCATTCAAAGATTCCAATCACTTCATCAGGAATAATAACACAAAACTCTTACCTGAATAGCCCCAGCCCTGCCTTCAAGATCTCCATGATCTAGAACACCTGCTCCACTTTGTGTGCGGTGGTATGCCTGAAGCCATGCCTGAGCTCCCAGCTGCTCGTGTTCAGTCACCAGGAAGATCAAGTCTTTTGCCCAGTACACTTGCTCTGAATAATAATGATAACAATAATGATAATCAAAGACTTTCATAACACATTTCTTTACACTTTCCACATTCTTGAGGAATGTTTTGATCTTACTGCATTTATCAATGTAAAACTGACACAGTCAAACAATTGCATAAAAACAGCTAAGTTTAATATGCTGATGCTCAATAGAAACAGTTAAGTTTTAAAT